ATGAGAGTCCATCTGTGCCACAGAAAGCACCAGGAGTTCTGTCAGGCTGATCCTCACAGAACTTTATTGCTATGAAGAAAACACAAACAGATGAATCCTAGTTACCCGTGTTATGGAATGACTTTGAACAATGGTAATGAAGGTCAGCTTTTACTGCAGATTTATGTATTTAAAAGAACATGACATATGGGAAATATGACATTTGCCAGTATTGAGACAGTGCCAGAATTTCTGTGTAAAATGGTTACAGGATGGGTTTTTTTCAATTTGCAATTTTTAAAGAAATGTTGAAATTTCTTGTGAGATTTAAAGATTTTATGGATTTTTTTCCCCTACATGTGCAAAAAATATATGAAAAATTGTACTCTCCATAAACCTCCAATTGTGTGGAATGTCATACAAGTGGAACCACATTACAGAAAAATTGAGCAGTAAAGACTACGCTATTCTTGACCATAGTTACGTGCAGTTGTACTTTCCCCAGTCTTTCCACACAGACCGCATAATAACACGTTGGGAGCTTCAAGAAGAAACACAAGCTTATGAAGGGCAAAGTTCAGCCTTGTAAGAAATGTTCTATAGGCTGGATGCATTAAAAGTGGCTTCCAGAGCACAGAACGAGGCTTTACTCCTGTACCAGTGAGAATTCAACACTTCTTACTGATGTTACAGAGCTGAGGGGAAGCTGGTCAGACAGGTGTCTTAGGTCGACGTTCAGTATGCAGCTCTCTAAAGAAAATACTGACAGTGGGGACAGAGGTGGTCAAGACGTCTCCTTGTAAGCGTAGAGACCTTTAGGCACTTGGGAGTCCCACTCAGGGATCCTCTGTGGATTCTATATTTTCATTCTGAGGACTGAGCAGGATCTATGCTCTGCCCTTACAGAAATGTTGAGTCATCCCCACTTTATTATATTGATTAAAGCTTTTGATTCAGCATTTGAGTGACTTGGTTTGCTATCTTTGCTATTTGTTCTCCGTAATGGAGGGTAGGCAACACCTACTTGTCAGGAGCCTCCCATGAGAAGCTGTATTGGACAGGAATAGTCTTCATTTCTCTTGCTAAAGGTGAGTCACTATCCAGTAAAGAACACAGCTGCACCTGCCTGCATCTGATGCCAAGGCACTTGGGGAGGAAACGATCCTTTTAAGAAAGTTTTTTTTATAGTTTATCTAAGGAATGAAGCCAGAATATGCCCAATTTCAGGAGAATACTGTAAATACAGAGTAACATATCCTCTTGAACTTTCCATTGATGATCCTGGATCTGCTACATCCAGAGCAAGTGTATTAGCTTTTTCATGTGTTAAAAAAAAATAAAAATTAGGAGAATTTTTCTTTTTTTAATTGCACTAAATATCACTTATCACTGTGTTTTGTAATGTGCCTCATTCAGCTGCTGTGTGCTCAGTATACACTCAGAGCAATTGCTTTCTTTGTTTAACTTGTTAGTAGAAATAGAGGAAAATCTCTTTTCAGAATGCTGGTGATCCTTATGGGCACGTAAAGCAATGAGCTGGTAGTCTGTTAAAAAGATTGTGCATGCCTGTAGAAATAGACTGTTCATTACTTTTTAAGTGAAGATTTTTAAGGTCCTTGACTGTGGCTAAGGGCAACCTAGGTGCTTTTGTAACTGATACGTATGCAAGGCTTTAAGAATAACAATCCTTGAGTTAGTTGCCTAAATTTTATTAAGGGGGTGTCTTTTAGCTTTTAAAAGTATCAGGAGCTTTCATTCCTTCAGAGCAACAACACATTAACATAATGAATTTAACAACAATGTTCTTACATGAATTGAGCTAAAAAAAATGCAACTAAAACACAAAACAACAACAAAAAAACAAATCGAAAAGCTCTTAATTTGAAACCCATAATATTAGGATACTGTTGAATCACCTCTTGCACTGTGAAGGTCCTTTTTTCAGTGTAAGATCTATTCAACAGGAGGTTTGGATGTATGGAAACAGAAAATCAGATCTGTATCTTGATGAATATGTGAAAAAATAAGATAGCAAATCTATATGAAGAAATGCTGCCTCTGTATTTCTGGAAAACTTACAATTTTTAAGGATTTGATGCATTTAAGATTTTTTTATATAATCCCAACCTCTTTAACGTGTCTTTTTAAGTTTTTAACATAACATTAAATTAACATAGAGTGAAAAAACTCCCTCGAAAAAGATATTTAAATGTGAATATTTTCATGGTATGGTTTGGCAATGTCCTGTAATTTACTGTCTCTTACAGCAAAGAAAAAAAAATCAGATGACTTATACAAAATTATATTACTGGAAAGATAAACTGTATTCCTTATAATTGATTTAATTTTTTAAAAAAACAAACATTTTTAAAAATAGTTGAAAATATTTTCTATCTACAGATTTTAGGTATCTTCCATTTGTGTTCCAGCATTTTACATTAAGATAACTAGATTTCAGCTAGCTTTAGTCATCAGAGCTGAACAGTATTTGGGTGAAATATTTGACATAACTGTTCATAAAGCTTCTGTTATTTTTAACATCTAACCTGGTATTTTCCTTTCTGAACTCCCTCTTCAGGTTCCAATCTAATAGAATTAAAGCCAAATGTGGATTCTCTTAATTCCTCTATAATTCTATTGCAATTACAAAATTTAGTAGAACATCTTTATGAAAGAGAAGCAGGCATTGCTCTGGAACTGCTAACATTATCTTAAATAAACTAACTTAACACACAAACCTTTGGTTTCTTTCTTTAGAAGAAGGAATAGCACAAATTATAAAGATGAAATTAGTCCATTTAAATATAACAGAGATAACTCAGTTGAATTTGGACCAATGAAGGGAAAAACAACCCAACTGAAAAAATTGAGATCCAGTTTTAACCTGTGTAGAAGTAAACATGTAATGTTATATCTAGTGGGAAGAGATATGGGAAGATCTTTCTAAGACTGAGATGCAGGATAAGAGATTTCTTTGTATAGTCTATTGCTGTTAGCAGCCATTAGCCCTGTACAATAAATGTATTTTTTGTTGAATATAAGATATCTGCACAAGGTGTATAAACAAACGTTTATCTACTGAAAAGTATTGTCTTAGTACTTAATGTTGAGTGCAATGAGAAATTAAAGAGTGAGATTATGCTGTGCTGGGAGATAATTCTGTGCTGTGGTAGTCTCAGCTCCTAAAGTGAGGACTTCTTGGGACAGCTTCTTTGGTTGCAGCTCTCAGCCTGGAATGATGTCCCCACGAGGGCTATGAGGCCTCTCGAGGGAGCACTCTGGAGCCTGATTTATTCTGCAGAGGGAAAAGCCATTGAGGAAGGAGAGACAAGTAGTATTTTCCTAACACGTCATAGGCGAAGGTTAAGTAACTCTGTGCTGCACTTCACTTCCTACTAAAGAATTAAAAGGAAGAATCTTTAGAGTTTATGTCTACAGTTTATGTTTGAAATTCCTGAAAAAAAACTTTAAGGGAGAGTAAATTATCAGATGACAATAGTATTTTGGTTTTCATGCATACAAGTTATCTTACTTGCTTTGATAAATAAATCCTTTTAATTCAGATCTGAGTTTTCTGAGAGGCTTTTATAATGATATGGTTTGCAGAGTTTTAAGTTTTCTGACCTACATTATTAAAATTTCAGGTAATTTGGTTATCTACCTAGCTTAAAGACATTTCCAAATTAATAAAACATTAATTGTAAAACTACATGAACAGTATTTTAAAAAGATAAATTGAAAGGTTTTGTGGAGAGCAAAATGATTTAATTTAGAAACAAACATTCTTATTTACTGAGATTTTAGAGCAGACATGTAAAAGGCAAATTGTGGCCAAATCAGTGCTCTTATCTTTTTATAAATACAGTTGCATAAGAGAAACATGCTACCCATTGCATTGTGTGATAAATGTATTGCTTTATTGTGCAAAGATTTAATTTTAAACAGAGTGGCAGTTTTAATTAAACATTTAAGATAACACATAGAAATGTTTAAGGACACATAGGAATCGCTGCAGTATTGAGGACAACTGAGTCAGCTGAGATTCTGTTTAACAAACTGTTGTTATTGTGAAAAATGTTTATTATAGGTGCTTGTTCTATATTTTTAAAACTGTCACTCAGCTATTGTTCTCAGGCAAATATTGGCCAGGTTTTATACTGAAAGCAAGCAGGTGCAGGTAGTGCAGGTGCATAGGACAGCCCTGATGTGAAAAATTAAAATCAAGCCTCACTAAAGTCTGACAGCTGTCCAGCAGTTTAGCAGAGGAATGGCCATTTCTCCGGAAGAGTCTGGTCTGTCAGACACACTCTAGTCACAGCTAGGGCGTACTACCAAGGTGGGTTTCACAGAATATGTCTGCAGCCCCATCAGTTTTACCTTGGAGGAAGCAAGGATGATCCTAGAGCCAGTTGTATACATTGTAGCAGCTTCCTGGAGGAAACAGAATATTGAGGTGGCAGGGCAAGTCCATGCCTCCAAGGACTCCACCTTAACTGATGTCATCTACTTTATACCTGTTCTCTTGCCTCTTTGCCACATACAGCAAGATGTCCAAAGCTCATGGAAGGGTGATGCCAAGCAAAAGTGACTTTGTAGCCTAATAGCTGGAAAGACACATAGCCATGATTTTGCCTTTTCCTTTCTTTAATGCTTATGATAAGCATTATGCTTACACGAAATAGCAGTATGCTGGAAACAGGAGGGCACTAGAGTATGTTCTTGTGAGATCATAGTATCAAACTGTCTCCTGCATGGATATAGATGGCTGAGCTCAGGTATTTGTCAATAATGACATCAATGAATGAATAAGATATGAGAAATATTTGGCACCTGATCAGTAATGCTCAGTACAAGAGAGCTTACACAGAAATTTCAGATACGTACAGCAGATGTTGTGTCATAATACAGAAACTTATTCCTATAGGCACAGAGTCTGTTTTGGGTGATGCCACAACTTCTTTGAGTTTTCTTACTTCTCTGAGACTTTTAGTAAAGTAATGAAATAACACTCTTCTTTTCAGTGTTCTGTTTCCTGTGGAAAAGGTTTGAAGTTTCGTGATGTGCATTGTTTTAATAGCTTCCACTCTAAAATAGAAGAAGAAAACTGCAAACATTTGAAAAAACCACGAACACGTAAAATATGTAGAGCTGGAAGATGTCCTGCTTGGAAAGCCAGCAAATGGAAAGAGGTAAGTAAAATCTGACATAACTATCTTCTTTGTGAGAGTACAAGGCAAGATCATATTTATGACATGCTGCTTCAATGGAAATAATTGTCAGGAAGGTTTTTTTATATGCATATCACAATGAAATCTATAAATTAGCAAGTAGTTCATTGTATTTTCTTTCTTTTAAGAGTAATGAAAAATAAAAGTCTGTTGAAACTAAGTATTTGATAAGCTGAATTTTGTACTGAATAGGTACTTAGGACTTTCTTAAACTTACTTGGAAATTCAAATTAACAGTAAATTTTTAAAGTTTACTTCTTACCTTCTGTGATGGATTCAGTAGTATCACTGTACTTGCTATCTTAATCTAAATATTGAAATGAAGCCAGGTTTGTGGGGGAAGGACAAGCAAAAGGGCTTGTGGGAACAAATATTGACCTTTTTGTTGGTTTGGTCTTATGAAACACCTCTCACCTTGTAAAATTGTATGTAACTGAGTACATTACAATATTTTGCATTTCACTCGCTGTTTCAACATATAAATCCACACATTGGTAAAGACATACTATCACTCTCCACATTTTGGCCACACTTGATAAAACAGTATGAACTTTATGATTAGACTAGAGAGTCTTTAGTTAGGCTTTGGGACCTAGTCCTGCTTCTGACTGGTGTAAAAGGGGTCTGTCTATCTCAGTAAGCATTAGTGGTATAGTGAAATGCCTTTGGCCAGGAAGAACAAAAAGAGGCATTTGGCATTTAAGTTCCTCATGTTTCAAAGTCCTTAGTACTACCTGCAAAAGAAAGAGAAATGTCTTCAAAATACTACACTATTTGTGGGATTTTCTAACATGAAATGCTGAGATTTTTTCTTTCATTGTGATATTTGCATTTTAAAACAACGGACATGACTGTCAGTCTCTAATAGAGGCAAGATGTAAACCCACAGCTGCAAATGTTTGATCTTGCAAAAATGTAAATTATGCTTTGCATACACCTATAGTGATTGTCCATACTGTGAAATAAGATAAGCAGAGAGCTCAGATAGGTAACTCAGATGCACTTGTTTTCTGTCTGTCTTAAAAATTTTTATGTTAATTGTAGTTTTGCATTTTCAACATCAATTTCTTTAGCTATAATGAAACACTCATAAGGGCTGTGAAGTATATTTTAAATAATATCCTAAGGACTCACAATAATGACAACTGTATCCCCTTCTGGGGACTGTTTCATTTCACACTGACATAACTAATTTTGATCAATTTTAGTGTTCTGTATCCTGTGGAGTGGGGATTCAGCAAAGGGACATCTATTGTCAGCTGACAGGCCTGGGGCAAGTGAGCGAAGCAATGTGTAGCCATGAGACCCGCCCTGCTAGCAAGAGGCATTGCTGGCTGCCTGCCTGCATGGCCTACCAGTGGTTGGCAGATGAATGGGAAGATGTAAGTAAGGCTTTCAACTTGTATGAATTAAACGAGTGATGTCATATGTCATACTGTTTTCTTTTTTCTTTTTTTTTTTTCACATTTGGATGCATTTTTAATAGCTGTTATCCTGCTGAATAACAAGTGACCATGCTGTATATTTTGAAGGTCAAGCTTGTAAAACTTAAAAACTGACAAAAAATGTCTAAGACTTTCTTTACTCTCTTATACAGGATTTGCTTATCTATTGTTGTAGAGAAAAGCCCTGGTGGAGGTCTGAGCAGGTACCTATTGATAGGACTGTCTCTACATAGTTCTCTACATAGTGCATAAGATGTTTAATAAATCCTCATTATGAAATATCGTTTTAAAAAGGAGTCTTCAAGAATAGAAATGCAAAAGAAATGTCATGTGGAAATAAACAACTTGGCGGTAAAATCTTTGGACAACAGTGTTTTCAAAAAGTTCTGTATGGAAGACTTAAAGCATCTTAAAAACTTAAAACATCTTTTCTTCTTAAAGAAAATATAAGAAGCAAAATAAAAGTCACTGTTCTCCTACCAATTATGAAACAAGTTAAGAAAATAGAACTCAGCATTCTCCTACCAAATATGGTTTTTCATATTTAAGAAAATCTACTGTTACCTTCAGGAAAGAACTGTCATTTCTCAAGAAGTGATGACTATTTTCTACATGCTAAAAATTTAATAACTTTTGTTATTTATGCAAACATACAAACATATAAAGATGAAGGAGAGAGGAAAAACAATAATTATGTATAATTCCTGAAATGGTTTACAAAAGAGCCTGTCTCTTGCTGTAACATTAAACAAAACCCCAATTTGTACACTTGTGGCATCTTACGAATCTGCACTGCTAAAGTTCGTAGGGCAACCCTCCCGAAACCTTGAAAATGACGACTCAAAAGACACAATTCTGTAGAAGTGACAACTATTAATATATAAAACATTTTCTGGTGCTCTGCATAACCTGGATTATAGTAATGCAGTTTAGACATACATATTCCTCTGTTAAGCTTTATTGAGAGAAGGGGGGAAAATGTATGTTTCTTCCAAGTATTCTCTTCTCCTATGTTGCTGTTAAAATCAGAGATTAGTGAAAGTGGCTCAGAATGTCCTTTTAGCACAAATATACACTTTCAAAGAATGACGGTGAATTTTCCTTTCCCAGCAAACATTTGTATATTCCAGCTGGGTATTTGGAGCTCTCCACTACAAATACATTGTGTTTCACTACATCCTCCAGCTATTTCATAACTTCTTCCACATGGATATTGCTGTTTGCTTGAAATTCCTGTGTTCTGTTCCCTTCTCTCACTACATTCATATACAGCCCTGTACATGTCGTGTTAGTACAGTAGTGGAATCAGACCCAGCCAGCATAGGTTTAGGAAGGGCAGCTCCTGTCTGACCAACCTGATCTCCTTTTATGATCAGGTGAGCTGCCTGGTGGATGAGGGGAAGGCTGTGGATGTGGTCTGTCTGGACTTCTGCAAAGCCTTTGACACCATCTCCCATAGCATTTTCCTGAAAAAGCTGGCAGCCCATGGCTTGGACAGGGGCACTCTGTGCTGAGCTAAGAACTGGAGGGCCGGGCTGGAGGGCTGGGCCCAGAGAGTGATGGTGAACGGTGCTGCATCCAGTTGGCGGCCAGTCACTGGTGGTGTCCCCCAGGGATCAGTGTTGGGCACAGTTCTGTTTAATATCTTTATTGATGATTTGGATGAGGGGATTGAGTCCACCATAAGCAAATTTGCAGATGAAAGCAAGCTGGGGGGAGGCATGTTGATCTAGTGGTAGGCAGGAGGGCTCTACAGAGGGACCTGGACAAGGTGGAGAGATGGTCTTATTCCAACGGGTTGAGGTTCAACAAGGCCAGGTGCCAGGTCCTGCACTTTGGCCACACCAACCCCATGCAGCGCTACAGGCTGGGCACAGAGTGGCTGGAGAGCAGCCAGGCAGAAAGGGACCTGGGAGTTTGGATTGACAGGAAGCTGAACATGAGCCAGCAGTGTGCCCAGGTGGCCAAGAAGGCCAATGGCATCCTGGCCTGAACCTGGAACAATGTGGCCAACAGGACCAGGGAAGTGATTCTTCCCCTGTACTCAGTGCTGGTGAGGCCACACCTGGAGTACT